GGGCGCTCGAGTCGAGAAGGCGTCGATGCTCTCTGATTCATAGCGACGCTTCATAGCACAAAGGTTATACGTATGGTCCACTACAGGGTTTGTGAGTTCAACTAATAAATGACTATGAATTATACAACAATGACAATAAACATAAAACTACACTATGATGCAATCCATTAAAAGAATTTCCTCTAATATCAACTGACCAACTAATCTGCTTCATGTATTTGAAAATCACAGGAATAAGGCGAATACAGGATTAAAAACGAAAATAAAATGCATACCATTCATGAACAGATAATCATTGCATGTTTAGCCAATTGAAAGTGCTCATCAAAATAAATGTGACACATTAAAATCAATAATATAGTTGCACACCTGCACATTACAACCTCATACTCACACTATTCAACACCCAAAGGGAGGACAAGACGCTTCCAGAGGAGAAACACCGAGATATATTGGACCCTCATTATATCGGAAACGTACTGAGAACATTAAAAAAAGTCCTAATGAGCAACTTAGCAGGGACGAAATATAGTAGGAGTCTTGCCTTCTGTTGCAATATAGCAGGATATTCCCCTGTGTACCTACATGGAAAGAAGGAAAGCAGATATTCAGCTGAATAGACTTCATCAACCAAAACGTCTACCACAAATTCATGGCTGCCACCTATGAATACACGCTACCCTATCATATCTTACAAGACAGAAACTTATCAACAAATAATCGCTCAAACTGAAAACACAAAACAAAAATACCTCCCACTCAAAACAGAAATTCCACAAGTACCTGCTACAACACTGGAACCTCACAAACTCCTTTCAAATTGACGCTAATTAATCCTCCTTGGATTGGCGATTAGATTCTAAACAGCACTCGAACTTAATGATCTTAATATTAATACATTCTATATCTTAATAAAATACAACGAAAGCCGAACAGTTGCTGATATTTATCCCTTGATACGGTATCTGCAGCGCATACGTTCGAGGATAACGGGGATATATTCGACTGTGGTAAATGGCCAAAACCTTCATTCTTCTGCGGGTCCTTTAATTGCTTACTATATGTATCCTTGTTATTCTACATATATATTTCATTGTTTCTTTACTGACTTCATTATTAGAGCACGGAGACCTCTTCATTAAAAAAAGGCCTGAGAGATTAGTATACTTGGATGCTGTTTATTTCATAAAGTAGAAAAATGAGATAAGGCATCTCAGTGATATGGTTTCTTTCTTTCTCTTTCTCTCTCTCTCTCTCTCTCTCTCTCTCTCTCTCTCTCTCTCTCTCTCTCTCTCTCTCTCTCTCTCTCTCTCTCTCTTTCTCTCTCTCTCTCTCTCTCTCTACCTGTCTTTTCTGATGTCTTTGATTCAAGTTTCGGTTCTCTGTATCTCCGTTTACGTCCCTGTTTTCCGTGGAGAGACTTCGTGATTTCGCTCGCTACACTTCAATGGGCTGATCGCGGATGAAACCTGAATGTGAAAACCGTACGATTCTTCTTCTACCCAGGAACTCTCAAAGGGGGAAGGGCCAGTAATAACGACGCGTCATACCTCTGCATAAGTACTCTTAGTTCTGTGCTCGTTTTACTAACTCCTATTGTCTTAACATATTGAGAAGCAACTGAATGGGGGCAAAGACACAAGGAAATTCTTCCTTTCCAATTATTTTGATATAGTGATTTGCAAAGTAGGCATGGATTCATTCATTCTCCATTACTTCTTTATTAGCTAACCTCACTACTGACGGCATATACATACTGATCAGATCGTTTATGAATGTGACTACCACGCCTATTACCATAGTATTCCGATATATTTGTTTCTTTTTCTTTGTCTGTGTAGGAGGGGTTCAGTCATATAAAAGTATCAAAAATTATTACCATTACTATTAGTAATGTAACACTTAATCACATCCTTGCATGTAGAGGCATTTTGGTGTAAGGATAAAAATCTGGTTATCACAGACACCTGGTTTAATGTACACTCCATATGACGACTAGTCCTGGTGACAGAGCCAGAAATCAAATCGATTATTTTATCGCCGATTCAAGATACCGGAACGCAAACAAAAACTCATATCCGGATGCAGACGGAAATTCACAACCCAGTGATTATAAAGTTTGGATTGTCCCTCAAAAGTAGAAAAAAGCGAAGATTACCACCGATTTTGAACTCAGTAGATTACAAACAATCAAGAAGTGCGAGAAAACTTTAAACAAGAAATTTACCTGAGGTTTCTAACAATGTGCCCTCACAGAGAACATCCTAGCATCCAAGTCTCGAAGCATAACCCCCGTGTAATATGAACTAGTAAATAACCTTTACAAAGAAGAATATAATCAAGCCTAGGAAAAGTGACTGCAGTAGAAATGTAATGAAGTAAAATATCTCCCTTGTAATCCCAAAGAAAATTTCTGAAAAATAAGAGAGATAACTGATCAGCGATCTTTTTTCCCTCAAATTGCATTAAAAAGCAGACGGCCTCATTCTCCACGAGACCG